TCGAGGCTAGAGCCTCAGAGTAAGTCTCATGGTCATGTCTTTGCTACATGGACCACGTCTTTTGTTTAATATACTGTCAGCCAACTAGCTCTAATCGCCTACGCTTGTGTCTCTACTCCTAATAGCAAGTCTATGACTTGCCATGCCCTGGTCTCTTGTGTGCTATCCCACAAATGTTGTGGTACTGCTTGCTTTGATTAGGTTCAATGTTGAATCACAACGTTTTTGGGTTTGGCACACAAGAGACTAAGGCATAGGAAGTCATAGACTTGATAGTATAGATAGAAAGAGGATAGAAATAGTGGAAGCTAGAGCTCGTTGGATAAGAATAATCGTGATTCAATGATCACGTCTATGATCAAACACGTCTATTGTTTTCTAAATAGCTTTAGTCTCCACCGCCTCCTTCCTATTTCTATCTGTAATACCATGCCCATCACTTCCTACATCCTAGTCTCTTGTGTGCCAACACACAATTGTCGTGGCCATACTTGTTTTGATTAGGCTTACTGAAGACTCTGCTTTTTATTATCCCTTTCTCATCACTCTACGACCTCTTTTCCTAAAATTGAGTTTGTATCGGCAATATGCAAAGTTTTGGCTGATCCTGCCTTCTTCAAGTCTCCTATTCATTAGATTTCTCTCAGTAATTATTTCAGTGGCCTCTCGGATCTTACGTTTTCTCGTATTTTCACCATATGCAGCCAAGCTTTCGGCCGATTTCCAGTCGATTTCGTGCCTCGTTCGTGAAATATGTTCCGCTATTTCTGATCTTTGTGTACCCATGTTCCTGCAGAGTCTTTGATGTTCCTTGATTCGTAGGCCGATTTTTCTTCCTGTTTCACCGATATACTTCTGCTCACAGTTACAGCATTTGATGCGATAAACTCCCGAGCAATCTAGCTTGTCCGTCTTCTCGTGTTGCGTCGCCAGACTGGTGTGCCAAACCCACAAACGTTGTGATTTACCATTGAACCTAATCAAGGCAAGCAGTACCACAACATCTGTGGGCTGACACACAAGACACTACGGCATGACAGTTCATAGACTTGGTATGAGGGATAGAGACAGGATAGATCCGTCGGCTATTGTAGTTAGTTGGCTGACAGTAGGCTTTACAACAGACGTGGTTCAAGTAGCAAAGACTAGACTCACAGCCCTTAGCCTCGAATTAGTCACCCAGAAGCAGAGGAGGGCGAATAACGCCTTTAGTAGCACAAATGGGGGGCAGGGGTCAAGTGAAATACGTATACCAGGGAGATAGCAGACAGATTCTACTGGGCAAGAGGGAGACTCTGATAAGACCCAGGAAAGGACTACGTAACAATGACAGACTCTGGTCAACATTCCTAGCGCAAGGGGAAAATGGGGTGATGACGACAGCGTGGAGTGTGAAGGGTTTTAATGAATGCCGCTAGAAGGAGTACACCACACCACATCAAAATAAGCACGGTAAAAATAGTGACAGGGAAGGCGTCATAGGAGAATATAGGAAATGTGAATAGCCCAGGGCAGAAGGGGAGATACCACAACTGATTGGCACACGTTTAGTCAAAGGATGGGCTTCACTTTTCTCTTTGACGAGCTGTATTATGATGCTACGAATGAAGAAACTCACTGACGATGCCGACTACGATGCCGACTACGATTCCGGCGAACTTCTAGGAAAGTACCACTTCCACGGTCGACTTAGGAAATGATCATGCATACAGTGGACTCCGGACTTGGTGCCTTCCTCTAAGTCTTCCTACCAATATGACCAAGTTGCGAAAACAAGGTTATACAACTTCTATACAACGAAAGGAGGCTACGCAAAAGGCCTGACCATCTTGGTCTTCATATCTTCGAATCTATTATTTTTCTATATAGCCTAATAACTTTCCCAATTCTTACTTCTGACACCACGGATTACATCTTCGATTACATCGTTTGCTTCTATAATTAGAACTAATGCATATTTAGGCTGCTCAATCAGCCTAGAATCTAACTATTGCTGAGTTCCCCAATGGTTCCTTGTCACAGCACGATGTCAACCAGTTTAGGGATGAAAATGATGTTATCTCCACCAGATGATGTTTTTCTTTGATATGTTCGTCCTTTATATATCGGACCTTCCATTAATATTATTATAAAAGTCCATGGCAAAATATTTCTTGAGGGCATAGGGTACATATATGAGTTAGCTAATGTGGCTTTTTTTTCTTAGGACTTGAATTGAATTTTGTCCATTGTAAGCTCCTTACTAGTAAGTTATACATCATGTCATTGATAATCATAATCGTATCCTTAAATGTTATCAATTTTTCCCCACGTTTGTGAATAGTGTTTCCCTACATCTTTTCTGAAAAGCCGACAAACTCAATGATGAATCCTCATCAGAGTATATCTTGTGACACTTAGTTTTTCTTCCCACACTACATTATTATAATTCCAAGGCATTTGGAGAATGTCATTCAGGTAATGACACGGCATATTTTTATCCCTAAGAGCTGCATTCTCTTGACTTATCTTATTGGAGGTTTATTTGTTCATCTGAACATCTGCAGCAAGGACACAATGCAACTTGCTGATTAAATTTTCCGGAATTTTATATGGCCTTGCCTTCCTAAAATGTCTTCTCATCCAGTTTGAAGTGCACCTTCGACCTCGCCCAGGTCTCATCAACACCCTCAGCAAACTCGAACCATGATAGGGCAGCGTATAATCTCGACACGCTAACTACTACGCCACATTACTACCGTTGCCATTGGGTCACAGGGCAGTTGCAAATTTCAAGGGAGGCCATACATTTTCCCATGCCACATTTTGTGGTGGGATTGTCACCCTAGCAAAGTTGTTTTTGCTATAAAAATAGATTACGTTACTTATACTGGCCTACCTTTTATTTCATTTGAAAAGGCGGGTCGAAGGGATTTATAGATTGGCCTCACCAGATACCGAAGAAGAGTTGTCTTGGGCTTTTGTCTGTTGATTTTTTCGAAGTAGACATTGGCTCACTTTCCTACGACTCGGATGACATCGTCAGAGCCAGAAACCATTATTCACGAACAATCACCAAAAATACTAAACCAATAAAAGTGGCCAGCTGAGATCCTAGCTACTTCTTATACCTCTATTTGCGATCTTACTGAGGCATTCCATAGTTTGGTTGGCTGATTTATGCTTATTCTACATGCATGTAAGTGGGTTAACATGATTCAGGCCATTCAGTCTATGTAAATAAACTAGAGTATGATCCAGTGGTCCTGGGTCTTGTTGCAGGTTCATGGATATGCGTTCTTGTGTGTAACACTCACGATTTGGTTGGCAATTTTAGGTCCAAAACCAGACTCCAGCTTTGTCAAGTCTTTTTCTCTTACTTAGTGCCTCTTACTATTCCTATTCCTTTTAATATCTGTCTCTATAATTCTATTCAGCAGTCAGATATAGCTAATAGAAATACTTTATCCCTTTTTTCATGTCACTTTTGCATATAATTCAGCTAATGTACCAATCCTCACGTACAGAAATCACATTCCTTCTTTTGTCCTTACTCTCTTACTCATAAGCCGAACAACACTTGCTGCCTCTACCCTCAACCAATATCCCCTCATTGTCAAATTCTGAACGTAACATAAATGTAGGGTCGAATGGACTCTCTCATGAAAACTCTGGCCCTGTTGTTGTTGGAGCATCTGGGATTCTTCAGTCGTATTCTCGACATCTGGGCCACAGACGCTGTCTCAGCTCCCAAGCCACTGAGGCGGTTGACGCACAGTTCAGCGCTGCTGACCTTAACACTGCTGATTGTAAAGCTGATGCTAAATCTGTTGTAACTGATGCCCCTTGTCGGGACTCATCCTTTCAGAGAGCCTTTACTCCTGGTCCTGATGAGGTGAGCGAAAGTAGCCTGGGATCCAGCTTAATTGGCCTTCCTCCGCCGTCCCGTGCAAGCCGGTCCGGAGCTCGTCTGCGACGTGACTACCCTGCAAACCGTACTCCTGGGTTAGCCCCTGCATCCACTAATCGCGCTTCGCTGAGTCCGTCGCGGCGATCAGGGGCTGATCTTGCTGAAGCTATCGTAGCCGGTGACAGCACTGCAGTTCGGCATACATCGCTAGTTCATGTAAAATCTTCCGAATCATTGGCACTCGGAGTACAACTTCCAACTCCCAAACCATTTTCACGCCGGTTGGCTATACGTGCTTCTCCTGGAGCCGAGCGTGCCTCTGGCGATGGTTCAAGTGGTCGTGGCACACCCGACGGCCTGCTTAGTTTAATCTCAGGAAACGGGTCACAAGCACCATCGGCTGGCTCCGGTAGCCTTAGCGCTGGAGCCGACTTCTTTTTGACTGTAAAAAGTGTAAGGTGTCGCTAAAGATATGCTAAAAAGACTGATTTTGTTAACATGATCTCCTTTAATTTCTTTAAATATTTATGCGAGGGTTTATTAGTATGCATGCAAGTTGCAGGCATACATAGATAATCACATATTCGAGAATTTTTATATCCAAACTCAGCACTTAATCAATGAATTAATTATTCATTTGGTTGCACTAAAGATCATCTCTATCTCACTGCTATGGAGTGCATAAGCTTTGCGTCGATTCAACCGTCATAAAATAGCGCCTATAATACTTGACCCTCTAAAGTTGTTACTGCATAATTTGTATGCATACCATTTCTATTAGTCTTCTTTTCTTGAAGAGACCTATTGTCTTTGGCTTGACAAAATTGTATAGTAAAAGTCTGCAAATCCTGGTGTTTAATTAAAATTA